CGGAAAGCTGGCTGCCTGTGGCCTCCATGAGGAGCCGATGACCGAGACTTTCAAAGCCCCAAAGACACAAGTCAGGGAGGAGGGGGAGGCCTTGGCTAGTGACAAGCAGAAGACAGCAAGGCCTGGGGTCCTATGCCCCATGCCCAGCTCCCGAGCAAGCACAGCCGGGAGCTGTCACCACACTGAGGGCGCAGGCCCCTGCCCCCTCTCTCCCTGTCTGCCCCGCTCTCTCGCTCTAAAGCCATGGTCTGTGGATTGTAACAACTCAGGGTGTGCTACTAGCATCCAGTAACTAGACACTGACTGGGATTGCTGCTAACATCCTACAATGTGGGGGCAGTCCCCAACACAAGAACTTAACAGCCCAGGAGGTCAATAGAGCCAAGGGTGAGAGACCCTGCTCAAAAGCAACCTTCTTTGTGCTAGAGGCAGTTCGGGAAAAAAAAAAAAACAAAAACAGTTTTATAGGCGTCTTTTTGTCTTCACTCAGAATGGAAGCTCATCTGGTATGAGAGGAAAGTACACTGAGGTCACCTGCTCTGCGATGAGAGCCTGGCAGTGAGAAAACCAGCTCGGCTCCTTCACCACACGTTTATCTCAGCACGTGGACGTCGGCAGCGGCAGCGTGGAGGCCGCTCTCTAATCCTGCCCCCTGAGACTGCATCGGAGCCCTCCCGTCCCTCCCGCCTGTCACACTCACTTGCCCTTCCCGAACCAGTTGCCGACGCAGGTCACCACGGATGGCCAGCCTGTGGTCTGGACGAGTCCGTTGCAGATCTGCAGGGAGAGAGCCCGGGGGTGGGGACAGGCCCAGGCCATGCTCCCTGTTCTGACCCTCCCAGGTTGGGGAGGGTCACCGTCACGGCCGAGGGCCCCGCACACCCACGCCGCACCCGTGCCCTGCCCCCACACACACAAAGGCCCGAGTGCAGCACGGAGACTCGCACCTGGATGAGCACAAAGTACCAGAGCATGTGGATGTTCCAGAAATACGCCAGGCCAAAGAGGGAGGTGAAAAGGCCACTGAGCAGCATTCCAGCCGAAAGGTAATACCGGAGGGGCAGCCGCTCCCCAAAGATGCCGCTGGGGAGGAGAGAGTGGCACTTGTGGGGAATCTCTGGCGTGTCCCTGCCTCAGCTGTCTCCCACCTCCTTTCCTTCCCCACCGCAGCGCCGAAGCCACTTGACCAGTGACCTCTGTCCGTGCCGCCGTGTGTCAGGGCCAGCTCGGTCCCCGCTCACCCGACTCCAGGTGTTATCAGACGCTGCTGTCCGTCTTTCTGCCCCTCAGCCAGCTGTCCCCCCCCACTCTTCCTCTCGGAGCAGCCTCTCACGCTACTGTTATGATTTTAACTACCACCTACATGCTACACAGTCCCAACTGCGTATCCAGTCCTGATCTGTCCCCCAGAGCTTCTGGGTCATAATCAGGTGCCTTCTGGATATCTTCTCTTGGATGCCCCAAAGCATTTGAAACTTAGCACTCTAAAGCTGAATTCCTCTTCCCCCTCCTGCCACCCGGCTACCAGCCCCTCGTCCTGCCCCTCAGCTGAGTGAATGGCACCACCATGCACCTGGCCAATCAAGGCAGGCCAGGGAACTACCTCCGTCTTCTGTCCCCCAGCCCCCACATTCCATCTCTGAGACCCACCCATTCCACCTCTTCCATACTTTGACCCTTTTTCACCTTTGTCACCACTGTTGTCACTCAAGCTCTTCTCCTCTTGGGCTGTTGTCATATCTGTCCCTTAGCAGAACCAGTCCTCACTCGCTCAAATCTACCTCAGCATCGCTCTCAGAGTGATCTATCCAAAATGTAAATCTGAACATGATACTGTAGGGAAAACCCTTGAGTGACTGGCTTATGCCCACAGCCTGGCCCTGGGGCCCTCTGCAAGTGACTTCATCCTCCAGCCCTGTCCCTTGCTCCTCCCTCTGAGTGCACACACTGGCAAACCTGCCAACAGCTCCTGCCAGGGATCGCGCTGTTCCACATCGCCTTACTTTGCGTGTGCTATTCCTTCTGCCTGGATCCCTTTCTCCACTGCCCCCCCCAAGACCTCTTTATCACTCTAAGTACCGTCTCATCCCAGAAGCCTCCCCAGACCCTCTTCATCAATCCCAGCCTGGACTAAGTGACTGTCTGAACTCCCAGAGCACCTGGTGGCCACCCCTATCATAGAGCCACCTCACAGTTTTGTCATTAGCTGCTAAGATATTGGTCATCCCTGCTAGGCTGTGAGCTCTCTGAAGGCAGTACCTTGCCTTATCAAGTTTTGATTCCTGGCAATGAGCACCACACTTGCTATGTAAAAACCATGCTGACTGTGCTGGTTTAGACGCAGCACAGGATGGGGTTTCCTGGCCATCTCTGTATCCAGGGTCATCCTGGAAGGATCCCAGTCCAGGACAAACCATATTCCATCTGCGCCCACCAACACTGAGTTTTCCAGGAAAAAGAGTTACTAACACTGGGAATCTACCAGGCGAGGGGGCAGTCTGGGCAAGCGTGGTAAGGAAAGGAGGAAGGTCGTGAGCTTAGTGTGCGTGCAGAAGTCTTGTTATAATTCCCACCTGGGGGGCCATCAGCTTTCCCCAGGTTAGCTAAGCAGAGGCAGCAGCTCGGAAGCGCCCTCCTCTGGATGGTCACAGGCTCTGCCTCTGTCATTACCTGATAAACATGCCGATGGCATAGGCCACGAGGAAGGCATCGTCCACACCCCCCAGTAACTCACTGTAGTTGTCCTTGTCTGAAAGCAGATGGGAGAGACAGAGAGCTGGCTGCTGGGCTGCACCTGCAGGAAGCCCTTTCTGGCTCTGGACAACCCCTCTTGAGGACGAGGGAACGGGGAGTGGAGAAGAGCAATCTGCCCTGCTCTTACCAAATGGACTCCAGCTGCACCATGTGGTGTCATTGAGACTATGGGTGTCATTGATGGGTATGATGATCTCTGAGCAGTTCTGGTGCAGACGGTTCTGGAGGGGCAATAGGATGCACAGGTCAGAGGTCAGCTCACTCAGCCCAAAGGGGAGCAAGCAACCTCCCACTCCAACCTTCCCAGCACCACTGCTCCCCACCGGATTCCACGTTCCTTCCTGCTGGCACCTCCTCCAGTCAGCAGCAGCTGACTGCCAGGAAAAGTGCCCACGTCAGACCCTGAGCAGAACCAGACAGTAAGGTCCCTGCCCTCTTATTTCACCCACACTCCCAACACTGCTGTCTTGGTGAATAAACTCAAAAGGAGAGCCTAGGGAAACCCTCCTGGAAGAAAGAGCTACTAAAAGTGGCTGTCTGCCAGAGTGAAGGAGCAGTGTTGGTGACCATGGTAAGGGACTACAGGTGGCTGTGGACAGAGGTCCAGACCATTCTTCTCAAATGTGTTTCTGCTGGGGCAGCATGTCCTGCATTCTTCGTTAGGGCCAGCCCAGCCTCACCTTGACGACACTGATGGGCTTCCTGGACATGTGATAGCAGGTATAAATGAGGAAGGTCATCAGCAGAACGGAGCCTCGGAACCTGCCGGAGAAAATGGGCATCTGGGTCAGCAGGATGTCCGGCCCCAGCTGGAAGTTCTCGCCACTTTCCCACCCATGCCCACTCTGGCAGCCCCAGGGCCTTGGCACCAATTCTTCACCTTCAGGCTCCCCTTCCAGACACAAGCTCCTCAGGGCAGAGGCCAAGGGGAGGCTAGGAGCAAATTCCCAGAGGCCAGGGGGCTCAAAGGGACCCATTGCCTTGGTCCCAATTCCTGAGGCTCAGCACCAGTAACCTTTGGGAAAGCACCTCTCCTGCTCTGGCCACCTTCATCCCCTTTGCTGTTCTCTGGCCTCACTAAGGCAAGGGTGCCTCTGCGCATGTGCGTGTGTGACAGAGATGGGCCAAGGAGTTAGAACCGCTTTTATTTTTTATTTATTTATTTTTTTAAAAGATGACCGGTAAGGGGATCTTAACCCTTGACTTGGTGGTGTCAGCACCAGGCTCTCCCAGTGAGCGAACCGGCCATCCCTATGTGGGATCCGAACCCGTGGCCTTGGCGTTATCAGAACCACACTCACCCGAGTGAGCCACAGGCCGGCCCTAGAACCGCTTTTAAAGTGTCAGAAACAACGGGGCGGGGTGAGTGGAGGCTGAAGAGGGAGAACGGTCTGTCTTTAAAGTGAGGTCAATACTCCCCTTAAGCTTAGGACACAGCAGACAGTGTCTGCTTCAGCCCAGACCCTAGTTGGAAGGGAATCAACAGTGAGACGGCTGGTGACAGAACCAAGTTCTCTTTCTAGTCCCAGACTGGTCCATTCTACAGGACAGAAAGCTCATTCTTTCCAGCTGTGGCTCACATATCACATGTGCCGCTCCCACCCCCCAGGTCCCGTCTCATGCACTGCTCTGGGGTGGAAAGAACAGTCGAGTCATGCACCACTCAAAGTTTCCACTGCATGCAGCCCCTTCCCCTCTTCTGAGGGCCTGGAGAAGGGCCTTCAGTGCCCTCCTGAGTCACTGTCGGCTTCCTCAGCAGGCGTCAGCTGAGCTGGGTCAGCTGCCGGCACAGGAAGTACACAGAAAATGACTTCAGAATGAACCCCCAGTCCAGGAGAAAGGGCCGGGCATGAGGGAAAAGGTAGGAGGGGCCCCAAAGCCCTTCCGATCCCTGGCTCCTGCTGCCCTCTAGGAATCTGCTTCCGAACCCCAAACTCTCTTCCCAAAGACGGGTCATGATGCAATGCAGGGTAGTACTTGTGAAATAAAGGGGGTACTTCAGCAAAGCCTGAATTTGGATTGGGCTACGAGGCCCCCTCTCACTCCACCCCTGGACTTGAGCTTCCTGCCTGGGTCTCTGTCTCCACGCTCTCCATTGCTCCAGTTAATCTTCTTAAGAGAAGAGTTACACATGCCTCCCTATTACTTTCCTTAAAAAATGTCAGTGCCTTTCCGTTCCATCAAGAGTGAAGTCCTAACTACGTACTCTGCATTCTGCACTGCTCTGTGACCCAGCCTCTGTGGCACCACTTCCTGAAGGCTCATGGGTGGATCACAGAAGTCCTCTAGGGACTGAGTCCTATATGGTGACTGACATGGGCAAGGTTGGTAGCAGCTGTGTTTTCCGGGTTCCACCAATTGCTGTATAGCTCAGGACTCTAGTGCGGGTACTTCTGGAATCTGAGGAAAATTCTCTGAATTTGGAGAGCATGCTCAGCTGGCCTTCTGCAAAGAGCAATAGACAAAAAACTACAGCCCTACAGATAACACCAACCCAGTGCCCTGCAGGGCTGGTGTTATCTGTAGGGCTGTAGTTCAGGGCAAAAGCGCTGGGTTGGTGTTATCTGTAGGGCTGTAGTTCAGGGCAAAAGCGCTGGGTTGGTGTTATCTGTAGGGCTGTAGTTCAGGGCAAAAGCAGAAAGCTTTGAGTGAAGCCTCTCACTAATTTCTGGGTCACCTCACACAAGTTCCTAAGCCTTTTTGCCTCTGGTCTCTTCATCAGCTGCAACGTAGATGACAGCATCAACTCCGTCTATCTCACAAGGTAAGTGAGCACAGGATTTCTCTCACCCTAGTCCGTAGGTCCCTGGTGGTACCATCTTTAACAAGGTCAGAAGCTCAGCTGAGCCAGCCTTGGCTGACCACATGGATATGCCAGGGCCCTTGCCAGGATGTGTGGCCATCCGCTATGGTGATGAATCAGATCCTCTCTGAGTCTGAAAGATCCTCAGAGACCCGATGCCCCACTAGGGCCCCTATGACTGTTCTTCCATGACAGTGAGGCTGATGCCAGCTACGGAGCCTGATATTGACTGGGAAGCCAGGCTTCGCCTCAGCAGAACTGCTGAGCCCTCTCAGGAGCTTATCAGTGCCAATGAGGGGCTCAAAGAGACACCCAGCTGCCAGCAACACTTCCCTCCCACCCCCACTCCCCACCCACACATTGCTTGAACGCCAAGTGCAGGACCTGCCCACCCTTCCCTGTCTTTCTCCTGCCTGAGGTCCCAGGTGTACTTCCTTATCTGCTCCATGCCTCTTTCATCTGGAGTCTTGTCCCTCCCAACCCTGGCTGGAAGGAGCTGTGCCAGAAGGGCAGAAACACTCATGCCCATTTCTAATGTCCCGACTCCCTTTGGCAGAAGCAAGACTGCTGTCCCGCCCACCAGGTGCCCACTACGTGCCAGTCACCGTGCTGAGAAGCCAGCAATAGCGAGAGAAGTCCTCAGAAGGACCTCTGCCCTCCTGGAGCTCACAGGTCAGCGGGGAAGTGGACAGTTAGTATTGGTGCAACAGTGCTATAAAAGAGGGCGTCCTTGTGGCAAGAAAGCACAAGTGAGGGATACCGAGCCCAGCGGGATGGAAGCAGTGTCTGGGAAGGATTGCTGGAGGTGAGGCTTCAGTTGCATCTTCAAAAACAAGCAGGAGGTGGCAGGGCCGACCTGGGTGGGGGTGAGGGGATGTGCCAGGGAGCAGGAACAGTGTGTGCAAAAGCACAGAGGTATGAAATAGCACTGCCTGTTTGGGGAACTCCGCCTCCTTCGAGATATCTGGAAAGTGGGACTGAGCCCAGTACAGAAGGAGGGGGACTGGGAAGGAGGCAGGGGCCGGGACACGCAGGGCCTCAGGTGCCCCACCGTGGAGTTCAGGCTGTCTCTTGAGGGTGATGGGAGCCGGCGAAGGGGGCCGAGATCTCCTAGGTCGGGCTGCTTTGGGCACCATCCAGGCTAAGTCAGGTTAAGGCCCAGGGCTCCAGCCTGTTCATTTTGGGGGGAAGCCTGAAGGGCAGGGCCAGTTCCCTGTGCCTTATCCATCCTGCCAGCCACTCCTGGCATGTGGTAGCATCATGGGGGACTCTAAGTGGTTGGTATATTTCAAGGAGTTAAGCTCTATAGGAGGAAACAGCAAAGACTTAGGAATCAGTCAAAGGCTGCTTTTATTTTTTAAATCTGTTTGCTCATCTGAAAAGCCGAGTTTATAACCTTTCTCATAGAACTACTGACAGTTTAGTGAGATGATGTATATAACGTCTTATGTCATTCCTGACACCCAGTGTGTACTTAAAAGTGACTAGTATTGTTTCGGATTTTCAGATGAGAAGAAGAGCTGGAGGGGCTGAGGCAGCCTGTGCTGCTCTGTTGGGGGAGCCGAATGGGGTCGGGGGCTGACACCAAAGTTCTCCGGGTAGTGGAGGTCCCAGGCCCTGGATTCACCTGGGAGGTAAGAGATGTGGATACCAGCATGGCCTCTCCTCTCCACCGTACCTGCCTGGGTCTAGATGGACACAAAGATCCTCTGAAGCTACTAGTGCCCGACCTTTCCTGGGGGTTTGGGAGCCTAAGGGGAGCCTGCAATGGTACAGAGCAGATTCCAGTGACCCCTATGAGCTCCTCAGGGCAGGCTGGAGAATCTGTAGAGGTCCACACTGGCATCCTGACCTGCCAGATTTCAGCCCTGCCCTCTTCTCCAGCTCTGACACCAACCCCCAATAGAGAACCTGACATCCAAGTCAGCAGCAGAGTCCTGGGGGTAATGTGCTGTGTGATGCCAGGCCTGGCACTGGCCCCCTCTGGGACCTCCTGCCTGGACTCCAGGGGATGGAGGAACGAGCTCAAAGTCACTTGCCAGCTGGGCGCAGCACACTCGGAGCTGGTCCGCCTCTTAGTCCGGTGCTCTTTCCATTCCACTTTGTCAGGTATTCTGAGGAAAAGACCAAGGTGCCATAGTTCAAAGGGGACTGATGACATTGGTCATGTTAAGGGCTAGGCTAGGCTGAGGCCAAGGGTGCCAAACTTACAGGAACTCACAGGAAAGATCTGATGTGCTCCTGCAGCGTGAAGAACCCACCGGTTTCACTTCTCTTTTCACAAGCCCTTCCCTCATGAATCAAGAGGCCCCAATAGGGGAGCAGGGGACACATGTGCACAGCAGGCCCTGCCTGGCCAGCCCCAGGATGGCTGTGGGGGGAGAGATGGAGGCCCAGGCTGGGCGAGCAGACCAAGGAGCAAAGGACATGTGGGGCAAGGCCCCAACTGCTCCAGGTGGGGCTGGCTGCCCCATGACCCTCTAAGTCTTTGTTAGCAAGAGGTAGCACTTCCTAGAGTCCCACCTCCCCCAACCTGATACTGGTTACTGAATAACCAAGTCAGATAGAAAGGTGGACGAGCTATGTCTTAACTATTAGCTGACGGTCTAACTTAGTCTTTCAAAGGAGCACAGTAATATCTTTATTGGTACTGTTAAGGCTTCGCAGTAGGAATGCTTCTGGGGCAGGAACAAGAACAGTATGTCCCAAAGCGGCATCAGACAAAAACCAGCCAAGAAGAAACCCCAAAGGACCTACTACCACCACCACTACAACAAAACGGCAGCAAGAGATGGCACAGCAGAGGGATGCTGACCTCAGGAGATGGTAGAAACGGGCCCCTTTCCCAGGTGGCTACCTAGTCATCCCGCAGTCCCAGGCTGGGCTGGCTGTGGCTGCAGGTGACCCTGGCACTTGTCCTGAGAAAGCAGACCTGGTAGCCTGTTCTTGGATGTGCCTG